GCGTTGGCGTGCACGGTTCATTTTCACCAAAAGAATCAGAAATTTTGACATTAATCGCAGAAATATTCTGAAAAAAACAACAATGACATTTCTGTTCGAAAAGTCAAAAATTAGCTAGAAAAAAAAATCAGAGAAGACTAGAAGATTTCTGGAAGTCATTTCTAAATTTCTGAGTTTAAGAACTTGATCTCAAATTTTCTAAAAAACAAAAAAAAAAACAGCTTGAAAAATTTGTGATTTTTTAAACATTTTTTATTTTTAGTGGAAATTTGGTCATTTTCTCTGTTTCCAACGACCCTAACTGACTGTAGGCTTTAGTTCAGCTTTGCTTTGTCCAGATAAAAATGAATGCATGAATTAAATTAAAATAAATTAATCGGCTGCTTGTTGTTTCACCTTTAAAAAATAACATCTGTAGTTTATTGGCTGTTTTTCTTTCTTAATATTAAAGGACAAATTAAAGCCATGAAGCTGAAACTGGTTTGGATTCATTTCTGAACTTGGGTTGAAAAATAAAATCTGATGTTTTTCAAATCAGATTTGATTTCTGATTTTAACTTTTTTTTCTCTCTGAAAAGGAATAACGAATAACAGAAAATATTTTCACAAGTGTTTTTTTGTTTTAATCACCCCTTCTGTGGATCATCAGGGCCAGGCTGGTCCAGTCCCAGTTCCACCAGTTCAGCCCAGAATCCCAGTCCAACCCCCAGTGTGACCTCTTGACCTCTACTCAGCCACCAGATGTGCTGAGAAACAATCAGAACTTCGCCTGGATGTTCAGAATAATTGATCAGCTCAGACATTTCCTGGGATTCTTAATTATGGAAACTGGATTATTTCAAGTTATTTTCAGCTTCCCTGTTGCGTATTTAGCCGCTCCGTTAAGTTCTGGAGAACCTTCGGTCTTTGTGAGGCTGATCCAGTGAATCCCTCTGGACTTTGTTGGAGGGAGGCCGTGTTTCTCTCCAGAGATGTCGGCTGTAGGTCCAAACTCTTTTTCAGTTCGTCTGATCCTGGCAGACGGTTTCACCTCGTTACCTCGCTGAAATCAGCCGCCGGAGACGCTAATGACGGGATTTCTGCTGCTACGCCACCTCGCCTCATGGCTCCAACAGTCCTGGCTCTCTGCTTCTCCCCATGCTGATGTACGGGAGGGAAAAGCTGCCAAAAAGTTTAAAGTCTTCCCTTTGATAGGAGGATTTGGCTCTTTTCTGGTTCCTTTTGGCAAGGCAGTAATGGACCTCTTAATGAGGACTGGCTTCTGTCCAACGTCTGCTTCAGAGACCAGAAGGATCCATTTTAGGGGGTCATGCATGCAGGATCCTGCCCCCAGCTTCCTGTTGGAGGGCAAAAAGCTGCTTGCCAACAATGGCTAGTTTTGGTTTTAGCTGTCAAGTTGTCAACATAAAGCACTAAATCTTAAACATATGCCTGATATTAAATATGGAGTGCTTTGCTACTAATTGTCAATATTACAACAACTAGGTGGGGTTAGGAAAAAGTTTTAATTAAAAAAATAGCGAGGGAGGGAAGTAGGTCAGCTATGCTAGTTTGACTATGAAAACTAACATGTAGATGTGCTGCAGAATTCTGTGCGTCTCAGTTCAGCTAAAAAATAAACACCAACTCTGACAGATCATCAGTAGAGCAGGTGTTTAAATGAACTAATTACCACCGCTGTGTTAGCTTAGCTAGTGTTAGCTCAGCTAATAGCAGCAGTAGCTAGTCTATCCCCGCTGTGTCGGTAGCTAGTCTACTGCTGCTATTAGCTGTGATAATAGCAGCTGTGATAGCTTAGCTAATAGCAATGGTAGCTAATCTACTGCAGCGATCATTATTAATAATCACAAAACAAACATCGAGCCTGAAAACATAAAACTGTAACCGACTGAATGTTCTGCTCTGTGTGGAAATGTTTCAGTGTTTTTTGGTGCTGAATCCTGAAACACAGTGATGTTGTTGTCAGTTGCTATGGCAACAAGTCCGTGTGTAGCATAGCTGACACAGAGTGTGAGAAAAAGTGGAATACTAGTGGTTTTTAGTTCTTTATGGTTTTTCTGCGTTATTTTCCCCAGTGTGGCTCACTGAGCTGATTTCATAACAGCTTCGTCTCCAGGCTCATTTAACGGTTCTACTGCGACAGAAATGTTGTGGATGGAGAGGAAAAGAATCGTCTTTTCACAGTCCAGCGTTGAGTGCATGCTGGAAATTTCTGGATATAAACAATAACATTCTGCGGGTCTTCAGGCTGTATGTGAGACATTTTAAAACCTAAAATGTTTGGATTTTACTGTGAGGAAAACGTGTGCAGGATTTTTTGTGTTTTCTCTTAGAAACAGTGAAATGACAGCAGCCTTTTACACTCTGACAGTTTTTGCAGGTTTTAGAGGAAACGTGTTTTCTTTGAGCAGAGCGAAGTGAAGCTGTTGAAGTGACAGAAGGAGAAACGCTGCGGCTCGGTTCCCCTCTGGACCACACACTCTCAGACCTGCTGCTGGCTGAAGCGTCTTCTCTGGGTTTTTACCATCTGGAAAAGAGCTGCGGCTCGGCGCTGCCTGCAGATCCTCACACACACACTGCTGCCTAATGAACTCCGACTGAAGCCTCTCACTTCAGAGTCTCCGGATCTGGCTGAGCTTCACGTTTTGCAGCTGCTGGACTGATGGAGGCCTTCACTCCTCCTTTATTCCTCCTCATCCTCAGATCCCTGGAGAGGAGACTGTAATGCTTTGGGCCAACCAGCTTAAGCTGCTGCAGATTTCCCACTTATTTTCATTCCAAAGAAAAGTTCTCATTTAGCGCCTAACGTCTCCAAACTGGATGAGATAATGAGGCTTTTAAAGCTGATGAACAAAACGGAGCTGAATCGTTACAGATGTGAGAAAGTTTCTGCAAACATTTTAAAAAGCTTTTAAGAAACATCAAAATATAATAATAATAATAATAATAGTGATATTCTATTTATCTGCTGTATGTAGGAGCAGATAAATAGGTCATCTACACTTAAAGTTACACTAAAATCCTTTGAGGTGATTTATCCTGCTTCCTTTAGCAGGTTAGCATCGGCCTGTGGCCTAAACAAAACCTGCTCATCACATGTTATGCACTAAATCGTTTGAGCTGTTTCAGGGTCTTTGTCACTTTAAATCCAAACTAGCTGCTGCTGGCCACGCCCACAACTCAACATTTACACTCACACAAGAAAATGGCTGCAAACAAATGCAAAATTATGCAGCTGTACACTTTTGAAGAGCATTAGTGGAGCCTCCTGCAAAACCAAGCAGAATGCAGCAGGTTAACAATAAAACTCTTATATTTTCCAGCAGCCATTGCAAAGTGAGAAAACCAGCTGACCAAATGGTGGAGATCAGTTGGGGTTGCTAGGCAACGGGCTGGCGTTGCTAGGTAACACCGTAGCGTCTGCCGATTGCGACTCGAACATTTGCAGGTTTCTGAATCGGCTCGTTTTCCAGACACAGCAAAACATGAACTTGAATTTTTATTATATTTTATTTATTTAGTCTGATTTTAGAAACAGTTCAAACCCAAACAGAAAAACAAAAACATGTAAAGTGTGAATTTAGCATATCAGTTCCCCTTAAATAATCTTTTACTTTGGTGTCTTGATCTCCACTTTGAACTGTGAACCAATTAATTCGAGTCAAACAGTGTCGGCGTTTTGCTGCAGTTCTAACTTCCTGTGTCTGGTTCTCCTCTCAGCCCTTCTGACCGGCGGATTCGGTCTGCCTGCCAAGTACGTGATCCACTGCAACAGTCCAGGCTGGGGCTCTGAGAAATGCGAGGAGATGCTGGAGAAGACGGTGAAGAACTGCCTGGCGCTGGCAGACGAGAAGAAACTCAAGTCTGTGGCCTTCCCCTCCATCGGCAGCGGACGGTAGGAACCCTGAGAGCCTGATGCTGCTGGGCAGACAGCAGCATCACTGCTGCAGCATCACTGCTGCATGATGCTTTACGAAGCCGCACGATGCTGCAGGAAGCTGCACGATGCTGCAGGAAGCTGCAGGAAGCCGCATGATGCTGCAGGAAGCTGCACGATGCTGCAGGAAGCTGCAGGAAGCCGCATGATGCTGCAGGAAGCCGTACGATGCAGCAGGAAGCCGCACGATGCTGCAGGAAGCTGCAGGAAGCTGCATGATGCTGCAGGAAGCCGTACGATGCAGCAGGAAGCCGCACGATGCTGCAGGAAGCTGCATGATGCTGCTGTCCGCCCGGCAGCATCAATGCTGCAGGATGCTGTAGAAAACCTGCAGAAATATTTTTAGATATTAAGTGATAATTTGATCAGTTACTTAGTTTTATTAATGCTCGTATTGTTTGTAATATTTCCTCTGCAGTTTTAATGTTGTGATGTTCCTGCAGGAACGGTTTCCCCAAGCAGACGGCGGCCCAGCTGATCCTCAAGGCCATCTCCAGCTACTTCGTGGCCACCATGTCTTCCACCATCAAGACGGTCTACTTCGTTCTGTTCGACAGCGAGAGCATCGGCATCTACGTCCAGGAAATGGCCAAACTGGAAACCAGTTAGAGGACTGGCCGCTCGCTCTGCTCGTCCCTCTGCTTTCTGTTTTCTGTTGGAGAGAGGAAGACGTGTGCTGGAGTTAGGAATGAAGAAAATCACAAGAAGAAGAAGAAGAAGTGTAAAGGCCGGGAACTTGGTTTTTGCATCATGTTTGTATGTTTACTCTATAGTTTTATTCCTTATTTACTCGTCACCTCTGGTGTTTAACTGTAGATGTGCGCTTTTTTTTTCTAAGATCTTTTTACTCAAACAGTGCAGCACAATACGAAACCAACAATTCCCATTTAGTTTTCAGAATATATATATATAAATCCAGTAAAATCTGAGCGGTGCTGCGCAGTGCGGGCGGTTTGGACGATACGGGTCGGTGCATGTGAGGCGGTAAAAACGGCTCTTCCTGTTGAGCTCGGTTCACTTTAACTGTGTCGTAGTTTTGGGTTTGGAGCGTCTGTCATACTGTAAAAAGAAAACGGTAAAGATTTGTTCCGTCTTTAGGAGACTCCAGTATCGTGATCTAGAACCAGTTCTTGTGTTGTGTGTTGCTAATTTCACTTTTCTTGCCTTTTGTTTAGACAGGCAAAGTATTTTCTCTGTGCACTGCAAAAACGTAGAAAAGTTGTTCCAAGCAGCGTAAATTCATCCGTTTCTGGCTGAAAACTGGAGGTTTTTGCAGAACGCCTTTTGTTTCTCTTCGTGGTCCTATAAGTGTTCATATAGATAGGAGTGTTTGTGAAGCATTATGGACAAATATTAAACTGTAACAGAATTTTATTTGTTTTAATTTCCCGTGATTATAAAATGGCACAAAGAGTTGGAAGAAAAAAAGTCGTGTAAGATTGTTTTGTGTGTGTGTTCCTCTTTTTGTTTGTTTTTGTTAAGCCACAAAAGATATTACTGCTGGAACCGGAGGCTGCTGCTGTTGGCGCGGCCGCCGCCAGGGGGCGCTCTGTCACCAGACATGGGCCGGTCCGGTCAGCCATGTTTGTTTGCCTCAGCAGCGCAGATGGATCAGATTTGAGCGGATTGGGGAGCGAAGGACATCAGACATGCAGGTCTGCATTTGGACTTTTCAGCAGCTCGACTTTCTTATGAGAAAATAAAATTGTTAAACGCTTTCTAAAGAATTGCTACAGTCTGATTATACAAAAAGATTTAAAAAGGTCTGTATTCACTCCAGTAATAAAAATCCTTTAAAAACGTCAGAGAATTCGTCAAATTATTTTGTGAATTATTCATGGAAGAACGAGAAATCATGAACTTAAACGTGTTTGATAATTAAAATGAATCTGATCAAAGATCCAACAGGTTTTTATTTCCAGACCAGAGGAGAGTCAACAAATCAACTTAGACTGATTATTGACTTTAGGTTAATATTTTTCACCATAAAGATTAAAATAATTTGTTCAGATTCTGACAAACATTCACCCTGAATTCTGTTTTTTCACCTTTACACTTTGAAATGCGGCGTAAATAGATTATAAAATCTATTCATTTTGATTTTGTTTTCAAATGTTTCTGTTAGTTTTATTTATTACACTGTGATTTAAATGAACTGTTTCTTTATTCACAGGTTTCCTTTATTTGATCAGACAGGAAACAGGGTGATGAGACAGAGGAAGACCTGGGTCAAAGGTCATCAGGCAGGGAACCTGTGACCTGTTTGGACTCCACAGCGCCCCCTTCCAGCTGTTTCTCAGTTCCCTGGAAGTTTGTTCCAGATCTGTGGTGCACAGAAGCTGAATGCTGCTTCTCCTCGTTTGGTTCTGGTTCTGCATCAGAACCAGAACCTGAGGGGCCTGAAGGTTGATCCAGCAGCAGATCTATAATGTATTTATCTGCAGAGAAACGCCTGGATGAGTTTCTGGAACAACTAGAGCTATGTGTTGACTCTAGATCTATAACTGTAGATCTATAACTGTAGATCTATAACTCTAGATCTTTAACTCTAGATCTATAACTCTAGATCTATAACTAGATCTTTAACTCTAGATCATTCCTCAGGTTTTGTCTCATCTGTTCTCAGCTTCTGTTCAGCATCTGGAAGGGGTCAAAGGTCACCTGGTGACGTCATAAGGTGGAGCTCTGTATCATCTGTGTCGTCATAGTAACTTAGATATTAAACAGAAGAGGAACGAATATCCAAAAATTATAGCTAAGAGTAGCAACTTCAACATAGTTTTACTAAAGTAAAAGTAAAAAGTATCCGTCCAAGAAATGACTCAACTAAAAGTACTTGGTGAAAAAGTTGCTCAAGTACTGACTGATCAAATTACCATTTAATATTTAAAATTACATCATCAGATGGAACAAAATCTAAATTTAAGTGGAAATTTTGGTATTTAAACTTTAACTGAAGCTGCAGGTTTGAGTTTCTGGTTAAAACGTTTGATTTTCATTCAGTGGGAAGAAAATCCAGAAATTTGACTCGAATAAAAAGTAAAAATTACAGCGTAGTAAAAATACTATTTTCAAAGAAAGTTACTCAGGTAAATGTAACGAGTTACTACCGAACACTGATATTTAATGAAAGCGGGAAAGTTACGTCTTCTCACCAAAACGTCTCTGCTCCAGTTCAGACTGGAACCAGTTCGGTTCTGGACCAGCAGGCGGAACCAAAGACTGAACAGAAGGTAAACCGCTCAGTGTCTTCTTCAGAGGTTTTTGTGGTTGTTGGCGCAGCGCCCCCACAGGCGAGGAGGGGAACAGGTTTGGATCGGTTGTCCCGAATCGAAGCGAGTCTACCGGAACCGGACACCGACTGTCCAGGGCTGGGGAGGCGAGCACTGCGGCCAGCAGGCCACCTTATGGATGAAACGCGCGGACATCGGATCAGTTATTAATTTGAACATAATTATGATTTAAATTAAGAATCAGCAAGAAAAGTTAATAATTATTTTAAGTCAATAATTCCTTAATATTGATGAAAAAGTGCTAGTTTCACTGGCAGACTATTTCACCTTTATAACAAAACATTTTTGACGTTAGGGTTAAATAATCTGCGAACTAGAACTGGGTTGCTAGGTAACGGGCTGGGGTTGCTAGGCAACAGCGCAGTTCTCTGTGAAATAATCTGCAGTGGAACAAGAACTTTTTCATTAATATTTAGAAATTAACTTAAAACAAACTCAGACCTTGCTGAAAAGTTTTCTGAGTTATCTGTAAGTTTCGTCTTATTTCAAAGTGTAATATGTAGAAACTAAACCAAAATGACTTGGTAAGATTTGGTGGGTTTGCTGAGAACTTTAAAACTGCATGATAAAGATGAAGTTTATGTTTCGTCGTCCTGATGTGGTCAGGCGCTGCAGGAACAGGGAGGACCACAGAGTCAGATGGGGGTCAGTTTCCCAGCCGTGCAGGGAGGCCGGGACCCCAGACCTCCTCTGAGGGCCCATCTGACGCCTAATCCCAGGAAATACAGGCAGGTTTCACGGCCCTACCCACCGGCCCGCGAGCAGGCAGAAAAGCCCAGCAAATTCAAAGCATCTGTACGGGCAGGGGCCAATCCGAGGGCCGCCTTTCCCAGAGTCCGCGCAGATGAAATTTTATTCTTTGCACGAAAAACTGAGAGGGGGAGGCGGGTGGAAAAACAGAAATTAAAGCAAAGCAAACAAAGTGGAGAGATGAAGGAGGAGAGGAGCCGGTCGGCAGAGATCAGCGCTGCTTCTCATAAGGACGGGATTTTCTGTTGGTTATGGATCTGATTCTGACTGGAGCCTGACAGCAACAACAGTCTGCTGCCGGCCGGGAAAGAAGCAGAGCTTTGTGCTGAAAACATGGCAGCTTCTCACAGCAAAAACATCAAGTCAGGAGGAAAGTTTTCACGCAAAGGGTTAAATCTTTAACAGTTTCACAAATCTTCACTTGACTTACAGTGAATAGGTTAGCATCAGTCTATATGGCCTATACAAAACCTGCTCGTCACATGTTTTACTCTAAATCATTCTGTTTTAGGGTCTCTGTCGTTTTAAATGCAAACAGCTGCTGCTGGCCACGCCCCCAACTCAACAATTACACCCGAAACAAAATGCCTGCAAACAGATGCGCAATTATACAACAGTGCGTCTTTGAAAAGCATTAGTGGAGCCTCCTGCTCAATCAACCAGACTGCAGCCAGTCAACAACTAAACTCTTGTCTTTTCCAGCACCCATTGTACAGTGCATAAAAACCAGCTGACCAAATGTGCTGGGACTCATTTTGTGTCGCCAGCTAACAGGGGGAACTCTGCTGGGGTTGCTAGGCAACAGTTCAGTATGACTCAATTGTGAGGTTTTTAAATGGCTCTTTTTCCAGACACAAAGAAATGTGAACTTATTGTGAAAAAACAGCTGAGTGTCTTTTAAACTATTTTTATAAGCAGTTCAGACCCAAATGTGCAAAAAATGAATGTTATGTAATAAATCCCCTAAACTCTCAAATGTTACTGAATTAAAGTAAATCTGTAAAGAAGTGGGTCATGTGACCAGAAGACAGACGTTTTTAAACTTGTTTTATTTGATTTAATTGGATTTCTTCCCTCCATGAATGAAAAATAATTCATTGTGTTCAGAATAAGTTTGAGAATATTCGTCACAGTAACAGGCGGATCGATTAAAAACACGAAGCTGCTGGTGAACGAAGAGCAGCAGAGAACTGAAGACAATTTAACTTAAACTACCAAATAACAGAACAAAGAGTAAAACTTTAACAAACATGAAAATGTTTATTGAAGCTGGAGCTGCTAATTAAAGTTTCCACCAAAAACATTCATTTGTAATAAAACATTTTCATGTTTTAATCTCCGTTCAACAGAATAAGAAACAGTTTCATGTCTGTTCAGTAGATTTCCTCCAACAGTTCACATTTTTCACCTTCAACCAAATGAATAATTAGATTATCATGAAACTCAATAAAACATGAACTTTATTCCTGTTGTCAAAATTCAACAACAAGCAGAGAAATTGTTTGTGAATCAATTTAAACAGTTTGCTGTAAAAAATGATGTTTTATTTGAACAGTTTCATATTTTAGGAGAAACGTTTCATTCTGTTTGTCACAAACGTTTTTCTGACAACTGAAACCAAAAGTCTGAAGATTCACAAACTGCAGGATGAATCTGCAGCAAAAACAAACTCCAATCTGACTGATGGTTCATTTTGGGTTGAAATATGAAAAACTAAATCCAAATATTTTATTTCAACTGAAATATTTTATTGAAATGTTACTTGTAAATTAGTTTTATCTTATTTCAAGTGAACTAAGATATTTGCACAAGAAACTAGACCAAAATTATTTGGTAAGATTTTGATTTTGTTTTTTGCAGTGAAGGAGCACAGATGAGGATTTGAAACAGTATTTTTGTAAGCGTCCCTTCGTGGCCGCCACCAAACCCAACGGGCCGGAAATCAAACCCATCAGGAGAATCTGAACTTTATGGATAAAAACCATTCAAAGGAAATCAGCAGAAACACGGGAAGATGAAAAATGACTTCTGGTTGGCTTTCATGCAAATAACAGAAAATGAATCTGAACAGTTGAAACATGGTGGTGACAGCATCATGCTGTGGGGAGGAAAAAGGAAACTGATCAAAGAATCCGAAAAACGTCAGATTGGGAAGAAGGAAGGAGAAAACAATCAGCCTCTGGAAGAATGAATAAT